GTCCAGCTTGAAGTCTCCCTTCCGTCTGGCCCGCAGCCTGAGGCAGGGCTGGGACTTTTTCCTGCCGGGGGCCAAGTGGACCTGTATAACGGCCTTCGCTGGCCACTCAGAATTACCATCGTAAGCGTGCGCCTGCGGGGTTCGGTCAGACATAACTCGCCCTGATGCCGCGGCAGGCGGGGCCCAGGGCCTCATGCGTCTCCAGCCCCGGTCCAAGGGAGCAGCTGCACTCAGCCCTCCGCCTCCGGCTCCCCGACCCCGGCCGGGCCGCAGCTTAGGTTGACTGAGGCTGGGACTCGCCAGGGGCGGGGGCGCTGGCTCCCTCCAGCTTGTTTAATGGACACGGAGGCCAAAGTGCATTCCTCACCTCACCCCTCCGCCTTCTCTCCCGGACACCAGCCGTGCCCCGCCCTCCCCAGATTCCACTTCCTCAGGGGGGGGGGGGGGGGGGGCTCCGGCAGCTGGGCTTCTGGTTCTGGCGGAGGAATCCAAGCTGAACCGGTCACCTTCTGACCACCCCGCCCCCGCCCCCGCCCCCGCCGGACAGCCACGGCCGGGCTGGGAAGGCAGACACCGCAGCCCCGCGGGAGGGGGCGCAGTGCTGAGGGGGGCGGGTGGGTGAAGGCAGCCGACCTGGGACGGCTCCGGGTGGGGCCGGGCAGCCCTCTGGGTGGGAAGGGGCACAGCTGGGCCAGGGGCTGAGCATCAGCTGCCCTCAGCGCCTTCCCGGCTCGGCGTGTGGCCGTGTGTCTCCTCTGCCCCCCCAGAGGGGCCCGCTGTGGCGCAGCCCGGTGAATGGGGGGCAGAGGGAAGAGGGGGAGCAGCCCCGTGAGGGGGCACAGGTGCCCCGGGGAGAGGAGCAGAGGACCCATCCCTCCAGGCGCGGGAGACACTCCAGCTTCTAGAGAAGAGAATATGAAACAGCCACCTTCTCCCAGACCTCCCAGCCGAGGGGCACCCACCTGTGGGGGGCTCCGCAGTGGGCGCGGGACCCCGCCTGCCCCCTCCCCTCCGGCTCCGGCTCCAGCCACTGTCTCAGGAAGGCGCCAGCTGGGAGCAGGCCTGGCGTGGGGGCCCTCTCTCCCGGAGCCTGGCCCCTTCTCTCCTGTTGCAGTTCCCTGCCTCGGCTGGGCCTTCGTGATGCTGGGACCCCGAATCCTGAAGCTCGCCTGCCCTTGGCTGCGGGTTATGAAGGTGCAGGCTGTGACCGGAGGGCACTGGGACACCCGCCGGGGTTTGGGCACTGAAGTCCTGGGCCTGGCGCTGCGGGAGGGAGCGGCCTGAATGTATTTTCTACAAAATCCCATCGAAGTAAACTATTTCTTCACCTCTCCTGCTCACGGCTTCCTTTGCTGCGTTTTCTGAGGACGGCTTCGGCCCTCCTAACAGGAGGAGAACCTGGGCGCCAGGAGACCCATCAACACCCCTGTCTGAGCCAAGGGAACAGGCGTGCCCTGCCGCCGGCGGTGCGCCCTGCACCAGGGCGGACTGGGGTGGCCCTGGCGGCTGCTGGCCCGCGCCTCCGCCAGCCACAGCCAAGGAAGACGCAGCCGGGGCTTGCTCAGTCAGGGGTTGCAAGTTGGCACTAGGAGAATCCTCCCCCCTGATTTTCAACGTCCTTTACCTGTAACGTCTGGAGCAGGAGAGGAGGGCAGTGGGAAATGGTCCAGGCCTTCCCCTCCTGCCCCCTTCCCTTCTAATTGGGGGGCGGGGGTGGAGGAAAACGCGGCCAGCACCTACCCCTCCACCCACCTCTGCACTCCCCCTGTACAACCCACCTCTGCCCTCCCCGACTCCCCCCTCCACCCACCTCTGCCCTCCCCCCGAGTCCCCCCTCCACCCACCTCTGCCCTCCCCCCCAGTCCTCCTCCCCCCACCTCTGCCCTACCCCCAAATCCCCCCCCCTCCCTCCGGCCGCCCGGGCGCGGGCCACGTCCCCGGCCCCTCCCACGCCGCGCGGCCCGCGGAGGCTCCGGGCCGGTTTTCAGCTGAGCCCGGGCTTCCTGCGGGCGCAGCAGCGGGTCCCCCAGCGCCACGAGCTGCCTGGCCCCGACAGGCGGGGCGCACCGGCGAGGAGAACGGGGGCAGAGGGGCGGGGTCCCGGCAGCCCGGCCCCTCCCCGCGCCGAGGGCCTGGGGCAGGCCCGCAGGTGAGGTCAGTCACCGGGACTCCGGCAGGTGGCGCTGCGGGGCGAAGCCGCCTCGGTCCCGCCCACTCGTTGACCACACCCATCCACAGGCCCCGCCCATCGCAGGCCCCGCTCCGCCCCCTTTCACCGCAGGCCCCGCCCCCCGGCGCCGCGGTAGGAAGTGACCTAAGCCGCCGCCCGGCGCCGTTCCCACCGGCCGTGGCGGACGTGGGTGGCGCGCGCCATGCCCGCCGAACGGTCTCCGGGCTCGCGGGCGCCGCACCGGCCGGGCAGGTGGGTCCTGGCGCTCAGCCGCCTCCCTCCCCTGCGGGCCCCGGACGGAGCGGCGTCCCGGGCGTAGGGAAGCTGCAGGTCTGGGACCCCCAAGGTCGTCCCCCGTGACCAGGGGTGGCACCGCGTCCAGAGGCGCTCCAGTTGGGACTGCCTCTGAGGGACATCTTCCCGCGCCCTTCAAGGGGAAGGGCCCGGAGTGGGCCGCCGGAGTCCCTCCCCTCCGGAGGCTAACCGGCCCGGCCCGGGGAGAGCCGCCGGGAGAGCCGCCGGGCGGGGTTGGCTCCCAACCTGCAGGCGGCGAAGAAGTCTCCGCCCACCCTCCGCCCGCCCTCCGCCAGGCGTGGAAGGGTTCCGAGGACACAAGTGCCCTGGCTAAAGCTGGGCCAGGAGCCCCCTCCCCCCTCCAGCCCTCCCCCCTCCCCCCTCCAGCCCTCCCTCACCACCTCCCCCCCTCCAACCCTCCCTCCCACCTCCAGCCCTCCCCCACACACCTCCCCCCACCTCCAGCCCTCCCTCACCACCTCCCCCCACCTCCAGCCCTCCCCCCCACCTCCAGCCCTCCCCCCCACCTCCAGCCCTCCCCCCACACCTCCAGCCCTCCCTCACCACCTCCAACCCCCCTCCAACCCTCCCTCACCATCTCCCCCCACCTCCAGCCCCCCACACACACCTCCAACCCTCCCCCCCACCTCCAGCCCTCCCCCCACACCTCCAGCCCTCCCTCACCACCTCCCCCCACCTCCAACCCTCCCCCCCACCTCCAGCCCTCCCTCACCACCTCCAACCCTTCCCCCCTCCCCTCTTCCCCTCCCCCCACCTCCAACCCTCCCCACCACCACCAGCCCTCCCCCCCACACCTCCAGCCCTCCCTCACCACCTCCAACCCTCCCCCCCACCTCCAACCCTCCCTCACCACCTCCACCCCACCTCCAACCCTCCCCCCCACCTACAGCCCTCCCCCACACCTACAGCCCTCCCCCCCACCTACAGCCCTCCCCCCCACCTCCAACCCTCCCCCCCACCTCCAACCCCCAGCCTTCTCATTCGCCCAGAATGCCGGCAGCTTCAAGCCCGTTTATATGGGCAGGCAAGTGCCTACACCCCCAGCCCAGCGCACCCACCCCACCCCATCAGCTGAGAATCACTGCCTCCTGTTGGGACTGGAGGGTAGGCGCTTCCACGCTTCATCTCTTGCTCTTATGTAATCCCAGATGCTACACGGGCTCCTAAACAGCAGGTGCTTGGCTGGTGCCCAGTCTCTACCAGAAGCCAAGCTTGGTGGGCACTCAGCCAACTGTCAAATGCCAAGGACTGCCCAGGAGTACCTGTCCCAAGCAGCGGCCAGCCCCGCAGTCTGGGAATCGGAATCCCGGCCTCGCCCTCCACATCTGAGGCCCCTCCCTTCCCCCCCTCCTCCCAGGTGCTGTCACTAACCCCCCAGGACAGAGCCGCTGGGCCGATGCCATGGGGGAGCCTGGCAGAGAGGAGTATAGAATCCAGTCCTTTGATGCAGAGACCCAGCAGCTGCTGAAGACAGCACTCAAAGGTGAGCGTGCGGAGCCCCTGAGCCGGGGGCTGGAGCTGCAGACGCGGGGCCCTGGGGACAGGACCAGAGGACTGAGCCATAGCCTGGGAATGTCCTTTGATCTCTGTGAAGAGGAGTCAGCAACGTAACTCTCAGACCAAGAGAGAAGCCAGCATTTGGGAGTGTGAATTATAGTTACATACTTCCTTGTAACTTTTAATTTTGTTAAAATTATTTTTATTGATTTCAGAGAGGAGATAGAAACATCAATGATGAAAATCATTGATCACCTGCCCCCTGCACGCCCCCCCACTGGGGATCAAGCCTGCAACCCAGGCATGTGCCCTTGGCCAGAATTGAACCCGGGACCCCTGAGTCCACAGGCCGACGCTCTATCCACTGAGCCACACCGGCCAGGGCCTTGTAACTTTTAGGTGCTCATGGAAGGGGCATGGGGCACAGAACAGTCCCTGCTCTGTAAGTCCTTAAATTGGACCTGTTGTGGCTGCAGCCAGCGCTCTGGGACGTGCAGAGCTGCCGAGTCGGGGCAGAGGATGGAGTGTTGAGCTTGGCAGGGGAGACAGGGTCCTCGTCCTGGACCAGGGCCTCCCCGCAGCACTCAGGACAGAAGTGGGACTCGGTTCACAATGGGCAGTGCCACCACCTGCCAAGCTGAGCTTGTTGGCCTGCTCACGTCGGGGGTTCAGGGCGTGTTGAGAACACTTGCTCCTGTAAAGCTCTGCCTCAAAACTAGCATCCTCTGATTAGTCTGTCAGCTGCTGGCCTTCCCCCAGGCAGAGCTGCGTGTGGCTCCCGTGTGTTCTGATCTGAGTGAAATGTGAGCATGTACTGGTTGTGCCCTTCTGTAAACATCGCCAGTCCTCAGGAGCAGGTGGAGCCTGCCTGCCTGTCTCTGCCCCAGATCCAGGTGCCGTGGACTTGGAGAAAGTGGCCAATGTGATTGTGGACCATTCTCTGCAGGACCGCGTGTTCAGCAAGGAAGCAGGACGCATGTGCTATGCCGTCATTCAGGTTGGGGAGCGCCGGTGGAGAAGAGGGGAGACCTGGTTCCGGAGTGGGCAGAGATGGGCAGAGATGCGAAGGACTTGCCCCCGGCAGAGAGGAGGGTCCTCGGCCCGGAGCTCAGGTGAGGGCTGTGATGGCACTGCCCGCCCCCAATGCCGCCACCCTTCCTCTGGCTCACAGGCAGAGAGCAAGCAAGCGGGCCAGAGTGTCTTCCGGCGAGGCCTCCTCAACCGGCTGCAGCAGGAGTACCAGGCCCGGGAGCAGCTGCGCGCCCGCTCCCCGCGGGGCTGGGTCTGCTATGTCACCTTCATCTGCAACATCTTCGACTACTTGAGGGTGAGGCCACCCAGGCACCCTGTGCAGCGGCCAGCCTGTCTCCGGAGGCCACTGAGCCCGTGCTCTGACCCCTGCTCTCCCAACAGGTGAACAACATGCCCATGATGGCCCTGGTGAACCCCGTCTATGACTGCCTCTTCCGGCTGGCCCAGCCCGACAGTCTGAGCGAGGAGGAGGAGGTGGGTGGCCCTGGCCCTGAAGGCGGGGTGGGCGGCTTGAGGGCATCCCTTGCGGAGCAGGAGCCAGGGGGCCGTTAAGGCCTATCGGTTACAGGACAAGCTGCCAAGTCTGGCATTGACCCAGAACAGACAGCAGCCAAAACCTCCCGGCTCAGCGGCTTCCTCCCGGCAGGACAGCCAGCCTACAAAATGGCGAGAGCCTGGGCCAGCTGTGGACGCTGCTGGCCAGAAACCAAACCAGGGCCGGGCGCTGCGGGGGAGGAAGCGGGTTCAGCTGCAGTCTGCAGACAGGCCTGTCTCCGGGCCCAGGCGGAGACCTCAGACACGTCCCTGAGCTCGCTTCCTGTCATAGAAGATTCGGGTGCTGCCCGCCGGGTGGTGTGAGGGTGAAGTGGGGGAATGCGTGTCCGGTGTCACGTACGGCGCCTGGCACGCAGGCAGAGCTCAGTAAATGGCCGCTCTGTGCGGCGGTGGCCCTGCCTGGCTCACCTCCCGCGGTCCCTGCAGGTGGACTGCCTGGTGCTGCAGCTGCACCGCGTCGGGGAGCAGCTAGAGAAGATGAACAGGCAGCGGATGGATGAGCTCTTTGTCCTCATCCGGGACGGCTTCCTGCTCCTCACCGACCTCAGCTCGCTGGCCCAGCTGCTGCTGCTGGAGATCATCGAGTTCCGGGCCGCTGGCTGGAAGATGACCCCAGCCGCCCACAAGTATTACTACAGCGAAGTCTCCGACTAGGCCTCCGGACCGGCTTCCCGCCAGCAGCACTGGCCTGCTTCTGCCACCTCCCACCTCCACCTCCCAGCAGTCTTTGCTCCTCCAGACTTCACTTCCAGCCTTCAGCAGCTCCCGAGAGGTTTCCCACTTATCCAGGGGTTCTGCCCTGAGCTTCTCCTCCTCCCCTCAGTCTCTCCCATACGTCCCACCATATCCTAACCACCACTGCACTGTGTAACCACTGGCACCTCGGTTTCCCATCTGTAAAATGGGTACCCATAGCCTCTGGTAGGATGCTTTGGAATTTCAAGGGGGAAAGGTGCAGGGTACAAGTCACACCAGAAATTTTTATATGTTTTGTATAAGGACCACTTTGGAAACAGATGTATTTCCTCCAGTTTTCATGGGTGGCAGTACTGTATCACATGCTACACAGTTCAGGGTGAGAGTTTCCTAATAAACCTTTGAGATACTAACATGCTTCCCTTCATCACCCAGAAGTCCACCCAAGCAGATGAAAGAGAAGGCTGGGTGGGCCCCAAGTTTCTTGGGGAAAATCCAAGTCCACATATTCCCTCTTTACAAGGTGGGGCAGGGAGAGCGAGTTCCGGCCACGATGGAAAGTAAAGCAGTAAATACGCTGCACCATCCTTCCCGGGGGGCCGCCTTAAGGAGCTACAGCGGAAGCTCGGTGTTTCCAGAGTAGCAGCGGAGAGCCCTGGGCGGCTCCGGAGCCCGCCGCTCCTACCACCAGCGGTAGTGGGCCAGGGCGCGGTTGGCCTCAGCCATCTTGTGCAGGTCGTGCTTCCTCTTGACCACAGGGCCCTGGTTGTGAAAAGCCTCCAGCAGCTCCTTCGACAGCTTCTCCGGCATCAGCATCCGCCGGTGCTTCTTCTCCCGGCACTCGGTGATCATCCACTTCATGGCCAGGAAGCGCCGGCGCCGGTCGCTTAGGGGCACAGGCACCTGTGCAAGACAGGACACGGCACGGTTGGCCGGGAATTAGCCAGGGTTGCAGCCTCCTTCCACGAGCTCTGAGGAGTGGCCGCAGGTTCCCCCTAGGGCAGCCCTCGCAAGGCTCCTGAGGAGAGGGCCGTCTTTTCCTCTGAGCTTCCCTCAGCTGTGGGTGAGCTCAGCATAGCAGGCATCAGCATGAAGCGCTGACCTCTATCTGTATATATAAGCTCAGCCAAGTTAACAAGCACCCATTGGGAAAAGCCTGATCAGCTGGGGTGACAGCCAGCGCAGATGACAGGTGCCTAAAAATAAGACCCTCTTGCCCAAGAGTCATTTGCCAGGTCCTCACTGTGTATCATGACAGACCCTAGGGACACAGACAGCAATAAGAAAGTCTCAATTTTTATGAAGTTTACACCGAAAAAGATGAGAACACCCACTTATGACAATGAAACATAATTAAATACTATTGGGGGCACCTAGTTCAGTTCAACAAATGGTGATGAAGCATCAGTTTCAAGCACTAGAGTAGACACGGTGTATAAAGGATGAGGTATAAATGGCCTCTCGCCATGAGAAACTGACAGAACACAAGATTTTTGGGGGGGTCTAGGGCTCCAGAAGAGGTCACTTGGGTACTTCTTTGTTTTCTTCCTTTTCTGTCATCTTTAACGCTACGGGACTCACATGATCAGATCCTATTGGTCTCTGGCCCCTAGAAAGCTATTAATCTTGATCCAACTCTGGTCCCTCCCACCTGCAGGAATGCCTCCCCTCATCGTTTTCCCAGCCTGCACACTCACCTGATAGAAGCGGCCCCCCTTGAGGATGGGTGCCAGCCCGATCACAGGCTCGCAGTTCTTCAGGGCCTGATGGAAGATGGTGTAGGGGTTGCGTTCAATGTTTGCCTGTTCCTCTGAAGCAGCAGCATGGAACTTCTCAAACTGCTTCCTTTTCACAGCTTCCAGGGTCTGCAACGGGACACAGTGGCAGGGGCTGTCCGGGCATCCCAAACGGTTTCCCCAGCTCAGCGAGTGCCTTGCCCTTCACTCCCATCATCCCGCTCTCAGAGCAGTGCCAGAGTTCTTAAATGCCTCCTCCGCCGCCGCCAGGACGGGAAGAGCGGCTGAAGTTTGGAAGAGGGGAGGGGAATGGCAGTGGTTCATCCTACACACACACACACACACACACACACACATACAAGTTCATTTCAATGACAGGTTCGTGAATCCACTCTTTTTCATGCTAAGCTGAAAGAGACAAGTGCAAAGCTACAGAGAAAGAAAGACGAGAGGAACCAGTTACCTGTGTCATGAGGGATCTCGCCAGGACTTTGTTTCCTCCTTTCATCATCATGTTGATGAATTTACTTCAAGGAGAAAAGAAACATGGTGAGCTTTCCAAGGCTGTGTCCCAGAATCCTTCCTGGCGACCCTCCCTGGGATGGACCCAGGGGAACAAAAGCGTCTCCTCTAACCTGATCACGGGGTCTTCAAACACCGAGCTTGTGTGCGCCGACGGGGCAGCTTTGATGGGCTGAGTCTTCTTGAGCTCCCGATCAAACTTCTCCTCCTCCGTCAGCTCTGCCAAGGGCTTGCGGTAGTATTCCTTGTCAATCAGGGGATCCCTGAATTCTGCGCTGTAGCGGCTCCAACGCACCTGGGTTAACCTGGGAGACCAGGAAGAGGAGGTGGGAGCAAAGCTGACTCCACAAGTGGAGAGGCTTGACTTAACAATGGGCATGTTTGCCAGCCCGCTGAGCAGGGAGCGACGCACACCGCCAGCCCAACCTGAACAGCAGTAATTCTGGCTCTTGTCTCAAGAGGAAGGAGGACCTCCCCGAAACAGGCCAGGAAAGCTTCCTCCTCGTCCTGTGCCAACGACAAGGGCGGGCTCCTGAACCTCAGGGTGGAAACCGCCTATGCATCTCTCCCCCCAACTCCCAGCACAGAAAACCCCCACGCTGAGCTCTTTAGCAAGACCGTGCTTTTAACTCCCAGCCAGAACCCCCGCGGGCAGGGGGCAGAGACCAAGCCTTCCGATCGGCCCGAAGTCACGTCGCTAGTTCAGAGCTTTGGACCCAGCTAGCCCGGCCTCCAGGCTGTCTGCAGGCCCCGCGCGCCCTGCCTGCGGCCCCTTCCTTCCTCCCGGTGAAGACCCAAGCGGCCTCCCAGCTGCCCGCCGCCCTCTCACCCTGGGAACCGCAGGGCGGCGCTCCGTACGCCCAGCGTCAGGTCCGAGCACCGGAGCAGCGCCTTCACCAAGGGGGCGGCCATCTTGGTTTGCCGCGAGGACCCCACGAGAACTGCCCGCGGCGTGCCTGAGCGAGTGACGGAAGACGAGGAAAAGGCCCCGCGGGGGTCCTCAATCTGCGCATCACTCCATCAATCAGCGCGTTAAGAGTCTCTGATCCCGAGGTCCAAAAGCAAGAATCCAAAGGAAACAAACACTCGCCCTCCCGTTCCCCATCGCAGTCAGGCGCTCGCTCCTCTCAGGCCCCCATGCAGGCCCCGCCCAGGCCCCGCTCTCGCAGGTTGTCGCGAGGTTTGAGGCCGCGGGCCTGGCCCGGGCGGCTGCAATATGGCGGAGGCGGAAGGAGAGAGCCTGGAGTCCTGGCTGAGTGAGTATCCGCGGCCACTTTTGCATGTCCTCGGGCCACCACCGCGCCGGCCCTCCTTGCACCCCTGCGGCCGGGCCCCGGGCCCCGCGGCGGCGCCGCCTGTCAGCCTGCGCCTGGGCCCGCCGCCGCCGCCGCCGCCGCGAGCGTCCGCGATCACGCCCCCTCCCCGGCTGGGCGGCCGGCCCCGCCGCATCCGCTGCCCGGGCTGCGCCGCCTCCTCCCCTCCCGCGCGCGTGGGCGTGAGCTCGGTCCTGTCCCGGCCTCCGGGCTCCGGGACGGTGACAGCCAAGCGCTGCCGGCCGCCGGGGAGGGCGTGATGGGGCTGCGGGCGGCGCAGTCCCCGCCGAGGGGAAGCGCCCGGTTTGGGCTGACGCTCCGGGAGCGGCGGGTGCTCCGAGCCCACACGCGCGGCTTCAGGACCGGGACCGTGTGTGCGGGAAGTGACCGCGTGGCGCAGGCAGAATGTTTGAGGTGCGGGTGTTCCAGAGATCAGGAGCCGAGCTCTGCGCCCCCGCCCCGCGCGCACCTGGACCGCGGAGCGGAGCGGGGCGCCCAGCCTGACGCCGGGTGCAGCGGCCCATTTTGCTAGGATCGCGGGTGCAGCTTTGAGCTGGCAGCGCCCTGCCGAGGGGTTCGGAGGGCCACTTTCCTGGGCGCTAGCGGAGGCTCCTGCAGGCTTCTGAGGGGGCAAGCTGGACGTGGTGGTCGGCGCGGAGAGATGCCCAGGACATGAGCTCTGCAGAGAGCTCTTATTCGCTAGAGCCTCCAGGCCTTGGAGCTGAGGGCTGTTCCTCCAATTGCCCGGCCTTTCTTAATAAACTCCCTTCAGGTGGGTGAACCGAGGTCACATCCGCTCAATCTGCCGTTGTAGGCAGGTCACAGCGCTTCTGGGACTGTTCTCCAGGAGGCTTACAGCGCTCCAAGACATTCACTGGTCAGGTTTCCTGGTGAAGCAGATACTGGCACAGCTGCCCACAGAGGGGCCACCTGACTAGTCAAACCCCTGCCAGGGCCACCCAATCAGAACACAGCAGCACTGGAGCTGGTTGATTCCCAGATATCCATGAGGACATTGGAGCAGTGTGAGTTTACTAGGTGTAGAGTTATGTTTTGAAATAAGAGAGGCACAGACCTGTTTTTGAGGGAGAAGGGAGATGAGGAGAGGGGAATGGGATGGTATCTGCAGGGACTACAGATGTCCCCGACTTAACCATCGTTCCACACAATTTTTCGACATTACTGGCGCTAAGCGTTCAGTAGGAATCGTACTTCAGAGTTTGAAATCTGACCCTTTCCCAGGCTAGCGTTTTGCAGGAGGGTACTCTCTCCAGGCAGTGCCAGCAAGCCCGGCGCCCACCGGCCGCTGGAGCACAAGCGTAAACAGCGGATACCTACCCTGAACGGCGCTGCCAGTGCTTTTTGGATATCGTGTTCTAGGCTAAGCAGTAATGTTGGGTAGGTAGGTGTGTTACATGCATTTTCGATTTAACGGTATTTTCAGCTTAGGAAGACTTTCTCTGGATGTCACACAGTGGTAAGTCTTAAAGGTGTGAACTGTACCAAGCGAATGAATGAACCCTGGTTTGGGGCGTGCAGTCGGGGTGTTTGGTGTTTGGGGGTTTCTGTGGGAGAGCGATGGGAACGGAAGCTGGGGAGTTACACCTTTGCAATTCCAGCCCGCGGAGTTTACATGTCTACATCTGTCAGACCCCCTCGCCCACTCTTCCTTGAGAAGTCAGTTTTCAGGAGAATTGCTACTGGGGTTTTTTATAGGATGGATTGGAGCAGACATTCTGGAAACCGGTGTGAGGGAGGTGGGGAAGGGTGGGGGCAGGGATAAGAAGATGGGGGAGAAATTTAAAAAGACGTTGAGAAGGAAGGGACTATGGACTGAGAAATAGATGAGTGGGAGAGGCGAGGGAAGAGAGGTCAACAGTAGGGGTTCAGACCTGGGTGCCTGAAAGTCAGGGCGCAGGAAGCTGTGTCATAGAATTAGGGAAGTCCGAAGGAGAAGTGACGACTTTGTTTTTAGTCTCATATCTGTACCAAAGAAGCGCTTACAATTACACTCCAACTTGTTATTTGCTCGGGCTATGTCTCGCGTGTTGCAGCAGTATTAAGTGCATTTTGGACTTTCAATATTTTTATCTTATGAAGAGTCGTAAGTCAAATGAGTTAATGGTATGAACTAGAGCAAGTGAACGAACCAGTGCTTGGGCTCGAGCACATCCTATGCTAGGGCAAGCATGTCAAACTCATGGCCCGTGGGCCCCAGGCCATGTTTATGTGGCCTGTGTTAGCCTCTGAGTTTGACATGCTTGCTCTAGGGCCTTGTCACTCCGTAGTTTGCCAGAATTATTGCAGAAGCCCCTGCTGCGTCCAGGGTAGGAGCCCAGTCTTGTGCTTTTCCTGAATTCCCCCCAGAGCCTGGCATGCTGTGTGCTTGATTTTCTGTGGGTGCCTAGCAAACACCGGTGATTGGCCCCCAGCAATAAAGGTTGGCACTCCACTCTCTTTCACCCCTTGTTCTCGCCTCTGCCTATTTTTGATTTTTTTGCTGCATAGAACTGTCTCTGGAGCATCTGAGCTAGGCTGGGATGGGGTAGCCAATGCTGCTGTTTCCATCCCTACTTGTCTTACGAGGTCCCACGACGGTCAAGGCTGGTGATGGAATTAAGCTGAAAATGAGAGGAGGGAACTGGAGGCACAGACACAGAAGAGAGACTTTCAGTAAAGATCTGAAATGGAAACCTTGAGTCAGAGTAGATCCCAAAGGGGCAATTCTAGACGGCAGGGTCTGCGAGGGAAGCCTGATGTCGCCTGTGTGCAGGTGATGGTGAGTGGTGAGTGGGTGGAAGGTCGTGTGCACCTGCCTGGGGAGGCAGCGGGCAGATGGAGCCATCCATCCACCCAGAGTGGTCCCCAGTGGATTCTTCCGGCCTGGAGCTGGCTGAGAGCCCGGGAGGTGGTCCGAAGTGGGGCTGCTGAAACCAGGGCTTCTGTGCCCATGTGTAGGCACAGCGCTCCCTGCAGGTTTGCAGTAGAAAGTTCTGCCGAGATGAAAGGAAATGGGGTTCTAGAGAAGGTGAACACAGTGAAAAGCAAGCAGGCCGAATTCCTGGAAGCAGGAATGCTGTTGGAATTCTAGCGTGTCTGGGAAAAATACGCTTTTGGTGAATGCCTGTTGCGTGGGTGCGAGTGTGTGTGTGTGTGTGTGTGTGTGTGTGGTGAAGAGGGGGTGACCACATCTATATTGGAAGATACTTTTCCAGTTGTAAACAGTGGGAGTGAGTAGGCTTTTTTTTTTTTTACAGAGAGGAAGGGAGAGGGATAGAGAGTTAGAAACATCGATCAGCTGCCTCCTGCACAACCCCCACTTCGGATGTGCCCGAAACCAAGGTACATGCCCTTGACTGGAATCGAACCTGGGACTTTTGAGTCCTCCAGGCAGACGCTCTATCCACTGAGCCAAACCGGTTTCAGCTAGGCTGCTTTTTCTTATACAAACGTGTGACTGTTCCCAACATAATAAAGATGGGTTGGGTATGACCCTCTTAATTTTGTATTTCCACCGCCTCTAGCTGTCATGTGAGAGCTGTAAGCATCTCAGGTGTTCGGGATTAGTAACACAGCCGCGCTAACACCTGAGAAGGTTTCAGATAACTGGGAGAGACTCGGGGCTTCTCTGGACGGTGACAGTGGGTCACTATGGCAGTTACAGCCACTTTTTTTTTTTTTTTTAATATATTTTATTGATTTTGTACAGAGAGGAAGGGAGAGAGATAGAGAGTTAGAAACATCGACGAGAGAGAGTCATCGATCAGCTGCCTCTTGCACACCCCCTACCGGGGATATGCCCACAACCAAGGTACATGCCCTTGACCGGAATCAAACCCGGGTCCCTTCAGTCCCCAAGCTGACGCTCCGAGGATATGCTTCCTTTATTGATTCTAGAGACGGAGGGAGAAAGAAACATGGATCAGTTAGTTGCCTCCAGTATGTGCTCCAACTGGTGATAAAACCCCTGACTCCTTGGTGCGCTGGTCGGCACTCTAACCACTTAGCAACATGGGCCAGGTCTATTTGTGTTCGTTTTGCCGAAGATGGTCTACTCTGTAAGCTCCATGAGCTGAGAACTGTTTCCTTGGTGATTTTCCCAATATGGACAGCAAGTGGTACCATGTGATTTTCTGCCTGACTGAGCTGTCGAGGCTTCTGTTAGACAAGAAGTTTGGGAAAAACATACCTTCACACCCAGGCCTGCCAATTATTGGGAAAACCTTCTGCTCTGTCCTCCTTGCTCTTTGTAACTGTTGTCCTCTTCTTGGTCTGTCCCAAGATAAGGCCACCAATCCTTCCAACCGCCAGGAGGACTGGGAATACATAATCGGCTTCTGTGATCAGATCAACAAGGAGCTGGAAGGGTGAGTCTCAGAGCTATAAGGGGACAGGTGTCAGTCACTGGGAAGGCACAAAGCTGAGGCCGAGGCGGTCTAGCCAGAGGGGCTCAGGGTCAGCGACTGAAAATGTGGTCTGCTTGTCTCCTAGGCCACAGATCGCTGTCCGACTGCTGGCCCATAAGATCCAGTCCCCACAGGAATGGGAGGCAGTCCAGGCCCTGACGGTAGGTTTTTCATGCTGAGGGTGGGTCTTCCTGAGCCCAGGCTGTTCTAGAATGTTGGTCAGATGTTTTAAAAACGTGCGCGCCCTTGTGCCAGGCACTGGGGCTTCAAAGCTGACTGCCCGGCACTGAGGTCTAGTGGGCGAAGCAGAGGCTGAGGGAGGGAGCCAGAGGCAGACCCTGAGCCGGGAAGGGGGAGTGGGGGGCTCAGAGGAGGCTTCTGGAAGAGATGTTGACAGAGCTGTCCTGCCGGTTAAGAGCTGGCCAACTGAAGAAAATGGAAGTGAGTAGAAGTCATTCCGGCGCAAAAAGTAATGCATCACACCAAGGGAAGGCGTCACACCAAGAGGCAGATCTAGAGGTTATTCAGGCAAACAAGATTCAAGCACAGATCCTCTCACCGAGACCGGAGGAGTCACCCCAGGGTTCTGTATGACCACGGCGGTGCTAGGAAGGGGGAGAGAGGAAGCCCACGTGCGCCTTTGTCGCGATTAAAGTGGAGCAGCGGCCTTCAGAGAGGCTCTCGGTGGTTTTGGACATTTGATGATAGATGGAGACACTTTTGGTTGCTTCATGTCACAGATGCTACTGGCATCAGGTGGGTATATAAACACCCTGCAACACATGGGACAGGCTTTCATGAGAAATGACCAGCGCAAACTGTCAGTGATTGCACAGCTAAAAAGCCCTGCTCTACAGAGACGGAAGCAAGGACGGGACCCTGGGCTGGCGTGCTCCTTGGCTAAACTGCAGGCAGAGGAAAGCTGATGATAGTTCTATGGTCCCAGAGGAAAATAAATGGGAGCAGGGGGAAGGAACATAGCATGTCATCTAAAAACTAGGAAACAATTAAAACTTTTACCTCCCACCTCCCCACATTGTTGATCAGCTTGTGGAAAGAACCCTGGACCCAGAATGAGAGTCATTCTCGGGGCCTCTTTCCTCCTCTAAAATGGCAGCATCTTGCGGCACCCCCACGAGTTCTCCTGTGTGTCTGCAGGTGCTGGAGGCCTGTATGAAGAACTGTGGGCGGAGATTTCACAACGAAGTGGGCAAGTTCCGGTTCTTGAATGAGTTGATCAAAGTCGTCTCTCCAAAGGTCAGTCAGTGCAGTTTCCTAATTTCTAGGAACTTCCTTAGTGTGTCTCCCCCTCCTTCACCTACTCGCTGTTACTGCACAGCCAGCAACTCATGGATCCGAATTTCTTCGCCTCCCGTCCTTGGAGCGCGGGGCCCTGTGGGGAGCGGATGACACCACAGGTCACAGGGACAGGCAGACCTCTCTGGCAGGCTCCCAGCCTAAATACAAGCAGCAGGGCAGCCGCTGTGTATCTGGGGAGGGCCTGGACGGCACAGGCCTTTGGCTTCTAGCACAGAAGCCAGGTGTGTGGCCGGCCTCATGGACACAAGGAGCTAGCCTCCCTTACTGAGCTACTCAGGTTCTGTTGCTCACTCGTGTTGCTTATGCTCTGGGCACCAACTTATAGCAGAGGGAACAATTCTTGTGCTACAGACACTGGCTCCTTTGAGATAAAGTGTAGTTCCTGGCAGATTGTGCATGGGAACTCAGGGCTGAGATCCCAGCCCCCTGCCTAACCCCAGGTGGATACAGCTCGGCCCCAGGCAGTGTCCTCTCCCCACCCTGCTGCCTCACACCTGATCCCTGCTGGCTTCCCATACGTCTGAGGGCTCTTAACTTTAGTGACCATTTCATTGCTGCGAGAGCGCCTTCCCACTGTTTCTGCCTCCAGACTCCAATTACCGATTTCCTTTTGCCTCTTAGTACCTGGGGGACAGGGTGTCTGACAAAGTGAAGACCAAGGTTATTGAGCTGCTTTATAGCTGGACTTTGGCCCTGCCGGAAGAATCAAAGATCAAAGATGCTTACCACATGCTGAAGAGACAGGGTATGTGCCTGCCCGCCTCAGCCTCCGTACAGCCCAAAGGCTGGCTGAGGCCAGGAAAATGAGGGGTGTCTGCTGCCCCCAAGCTACACCCCTTCCTCCCTCCTGAAGACAATGGGAGGTTGATGGGAGCTGTGTGGAGCCTGCTTGTCCCTGCCCCTACAGGTCCTGATCACAGGAATGTGTCCCCTGGCTGTGAGCAAACCCTCTACCTGTGTCACCTTTCAGGCATAGTGCAGTCTGACCCCCTGATCCCTGTGGACAGGACCCTGATCCCTTCTCCACCGCCTCGTCCCAAAAACCCTGTGTTTGATGACGAGGAGAAATCCAAGGTAAAGTGCATCCAGCCTGCAGTCCTCAGGGAGGTGTGGCATTGCTCATGCTGCAGGGAGCTCCCGTTCCCCAGCTGGAGTGCTACCTTCGCCTTCACCTTTGATACTCTTCTCACCCAGCTTTTAGCCAAATTGTTGAAAAGCAAAAACCCAGATGACCTGCAAGAGGCCAACAAGCTGATCAAGTCCATGGTGAAGGAAGTGAGTGGGCTCTGGGCCTGGGTGTGGGGTGGAGGAGCCCATGACATGGAGCAGAAGTCCTTTCCCTTGGCATCAAGCTTGCTCTTCGCCCCTGCCACCAGGCCACCCCTGGAGGCTGTGGACGGCATAGCGGAGCAGTAGTGGACGGGGACAGGACTGTCACTTTAACAGAAAACCTGCTAACGTTCTGAGGCCCATGGCTCCTAAGCACCGTGCGTTGGGGAGCCTCCAGGAGTGGCCTCACTCTAGTGTTCCCCGGGGTGACTCAGGCCCCGTGGGACTTGGGGGGCAGTGGGATGAGTCTAGTTGAGCTTTCTCCTTGATCCTCTGCAGGATGAGGCACGGGTCCAGAAGGTGACCAAGCGCCTGCACACCTTAGAGGAGGTGAACAACAACGTGAAGCTGCTAAGTGAGATGCTGCTTCATTACAGCAAGGAGGATTCGTCGGAAGCAGATAAAGAGCTCATGAAGGTAGCCCCCCAACACGAGCAAGCTGGGCTCTGGGCAGGGAGCAGCCTTCGCCAGGTGCCTGCTCTGCTGAAGATGCTGCCTCCAGACTCCAATTACCAATTTATAGCTGGACTTTGGACACATCTGATGGTCCCTAACTTAGGAAGCGACATGGCAGCCAAAGAGGGGATTGGCACCGCCAGTCTGCGGGAGCCATGCCTAACTCGCCCCGGGCAGAGGAGCTGCATGTGCACTGACTCTGAGAGCTGTTCTCAGCCTTGCCTCCTGGAGTGTGCCCGAATGTGGCACCTGTTCTTGGGCACAGGGAGATTCTGAACTCTGAGCGCATGCCAGCAGGGGTGTACTCGCCCTTGTCCGTCCTGGTGACTTCTCTGCCTAAGCAGGCATTTGGGTGACAGTGTGGTGCAGGCTGGCAGCAGAGGACTGTGCTGGGCCAGCTCTATCAGAACTGACCACGAAGCCAAGAGAGCCTGTGATTGGGGCATGAATGCTAACGGAGATGATCTCCGGTTTCCATGTCTGGGTCTCTTCCAGGAGCTGTTCGATCGGTGTGAGAGTAAGAGGCGGACGTTATTTAAACTAGCCAGTGAGACAGAAGACAATGACAGTAGTTTGGGTAAGTGAAGACTAGTGACAAGGATGACCCAGGAATTGAATGTGTGTGTGGAGGATCAGGGATGATGTCTTTTCTACTCTAGGAGACATCCTGCAGGCCAGTGACAACCTCTCCCGAGTCATCAGCTCCTATAAAGCAATCATTGAAGGGCAGGCCATCAATGGTGAGGTGGCCACCCCATCCCTGTTGGACTCGGAAGGTACAATGTTTCAGTTCCTCGTCCTGGAACCCTGCAGACCAGCCGCCATCCCCACCAACCACAGGTGCAGGCTGACCACTGTGTCAGCCCACAGCCTCAAGGGCATTCTAAATGGTTCTCCAGCTTCCGAGAGGGCACGGATCGGACAGGCTTTCTCCACCTGCCCTCACCTTTCTACTTGGCATGAATGCCCATGGGTTAGGGTTAGGCCAGAGGCGGCATAACTATTCCGATGCCCCTAATTATCCCCCTTCCCTTCTATTCACTCCTCCAGGACATCACCACTCCAGGGACCAAGGCACTCTCATCGACCTTGCAGAGTTGGATGCACCAGGCAGCTCAGCCCCCGTTTTGGCCCCCACACCACCCTCCTCCGGCATCCCTATCCTCCCTCCACCGCCCCTGGCCTCAGGACCTGGGCGCAGCCGCTCGTCCAGCCAGGCCGAGGCCCCCCCAGGGCCCAGCAACACAAGCAATGCCCTCTCCTTGCTGGATGAAGAGCTGCTCTGCTTGGGTGTGTCCTGGAGGAAGGCTGGGAAGGGCTGCTTCTAGCCGCTAGAATCTACCAGAACTAGGAGAGAAAGGGCATGGCATTGGAAGGGGGCTGTGTGGCGCACTGTGTGCTTAGTAAGGAGAGGGAGGCCTCAGTTTAAGGAGAGAGTCGGGTTTAGTGGCCCTCAGGCTGGCTAGGGGCTGGGTGCAAACAGTAGACCCAGTGTCTTGCTCTACTTCCACCTTCCCTGGAACACCCCCCAACTGTGACCCCCCCTCCTTGGGGGAGGTAGAGCTGGGGCTGCCCTTGTGCAAGGCCTCTGCTCCTCACAGCCATCTCTGTTCTCAGGCCTTGCTGACCCAGCCCCTAAGGCTCCTCCCAAAGAGTCCGCTGGAAACGGCCAGTGGCCCCTGTTCCAGGTAGGTGCCCCAGTGACTGAAGCACTGGGCAACCCTGACTTGTCAGTGTCTTTTCCCAACTAGTTCTTAGCCCCTGGGGCCCTGTCCTTGGAGGGCTGCTACGTCAGTGGGATTGCCAAGGAGCCAGGAGCGGAGAGCCAAAACCCTCTACACCCCTTGCTCACTTGTCCTTTCCATTCCCCATAGAATGAACAGTCGGACCTGGACTTCTTCAGCCCCAAACCTGGGACTGCTGCTTGTAGCCCCTCAGACGGGCCTGTCCTCCAGCCCTCAGCAGCCCCTGCAGGCAACTCCCAGCCTCCACTGCCACCCCCCTTCCCAGCTCCTGTGGTCCCAGCCAGTGTTTCTGCTCCAAAAACAGGCTTTTTGTTCCCCACTGGACTGGCCCCCGCTTCGACCCCAAAAGCTGAGCCCACAGTCCCTGGGTACCATGGCTCAGCTTTGAGTGACAGCTCCCTGCACCAGTTGGATGCCCTCGATCAGCTTTTAGAAGAAGCCAAAGCGTAATGAGTGGAAGACGGGGGTTGAGGGAGGGAAGGTTGGGCTTAGAACCAATGGGGTTGAGGATATTGTTTTGGTCTGACCTGAGACTGGAATCTGAAAGCTAGAGGGTAGGCAGGAGCTAGCTCTGGCCTGGGGCAGGAAGGGGTGGGGGGAGCAAGGGCGGTAAGTGCTTTGTAAGGGTTGGCTCAACAGCTCTGCTTGGTCTCTGACTTGCCTTCTCCTTTGCCTCCCAGGACCTCAGGCCTGGTGAAACCCATCTCCTCCATCTTCCCTGGGGCCACCGCCTCCCCTCTGATCCCCAGCGGCACTTCAGCTAGGCCTCTCCTGCCGTTCTCCACGGGGCCTGGCAGCCCTCTCTTCCAGCCACCTGTCTTCCCATCCCAGGAGAGCCCCATGAAGGGGCCTGAGCTCTCCCTGGCCAGTGTCCATGTCCCTCTGGAATCTATCAAGCCTAGTAGGTGTAGCAGCTTGGAGTGGGAGAAGTGGGGCCCAATCACAGCACTGTGGGGAGGGCTGGGTTGGTACAGGCTCTCCTTGCTGGTGACCTGCTTCCTTATTGTCTTTGCTACTGCGCAGTCTTGTGAAGTTCTGACAGCAGTCCTTTCCCAGACTCCTTCACGGAGCACTGCTCTCCCCACTTGGCTGTAGCGGCACCCCCGGTTCTGTTGGGGATTGTTGACCTTCTCGCTCCTTCCACCCACATGCCACCTTCTTACAGGCAGTGCCCTTCCTGTGACAGCCTATGATAAAAACGGCTTCCGCATCCTCTTCCACTTCGCCAAGGAATGTCCGCCAGGACGGCCCGATGTGTTGGTGGTGGTTGTGTCCATGCTGAATACAGCTCCTTTGCCTATAAAAAGCATCGTGCTGCAGGCCGCAGTGCCCAAGGTACTTCCTAGGGCCTCAAGAGGCAGAAATTACCTTTATCTTGTGGCCAGCAGGCGGCAGTGTGTGTCTGATGTGACCACACTGGGTTCCACCTGCCCGTCTCTTCACAAGGAGCTTTCTCTCTCTAGTCAATGAAAGTGAAGCTGCAGCCACCCTCTGGGACGGAACTCGCTCCATTTAGCCCCATCCAGCCACCTGCAGCCATCACCCAGGTCATGCTGCTGGCTAATCCACTGAAGGTGAGCTAGAAGCTCCAGATGAGGATTTTGTGAGCACCACCTTAAGCCCTTGCCCCTCCCAACCAGAAGTGCTGTGGCACTGTAGCCTTGACCTTGTCCCTTTCCCACCCTGGGTCAGTGGCTGAGTGAGGATGGGGTGGTGGGATCAGGACCTGTCTTGTCAGCACAAAATCCTAGAGGTTAACAGTCTCACATCCTGCCCGTCTGTCACAGGAGAAGGCGAGGCTTCGGTATAGACTGACCTTCGCCCTTGGGGAGCAGCTGAGCACAGAGGTGGGTGAGGTGGACCAGTTCCCTCCTGTGGAGCAGTGGGGGAACCTATGACCCTGAAGGATGCGGTCATCTCCCCTCTGAAGCCCAAGTAGGCTGCCCGAGACAGGAGGGCTCTCCGGGTCGTCGTTCTCCACGTCCTGACCACAGCGCGTGAGCTTTGGTATGGAACAGGCCCTGGGCCTTGCTGCCAGGAGCTGAACTGCCGTGATGGTCTCTCCTCCTTTGGCCCCGTAAGAGGACTTGTTTGTATCTACCTGTGTGACTCAAAGTGGCCATGTACTGTTGGGCGGGATGTGGCCCGGACTCTGCACGGTCTCCCTGGGAACAGAAAGCTGGAGTAGGTCTTCCCTGGTGTTGGCACTTGCTGCCTGCCGCAAGGGAGGAGTCTCTGAAGACTTGGGGTCCTTCCTGAAGGACCAGGTCCTCACCCCCCACCCCCACCATGCTACTCTGTGCTCCCCTTGCTGGCAGTCTCCTACCTCCAGGAAGGTGGTCCCAAACGGGCCCGGGCCCGAGAAAGGAGTGGGTGCTGCCTTCCAGTCAGTACCACGGCCACTGGATAGTGTATGCCTGTCTCTGGTGATGGCAAGCTGTGTCCTTTGGACAGCTCAGCAGGACATGGAGCTCGGCCTATCAGAAACAGAACTTGGCCCCAAAGTAGCTAAACTAAGGATAGGAGCAAAACAGAAGAGAACCATTGATTCCCCTTCTCCGAAACAGGTACTCGGAGCTTTCTGCAAAAAGTTTGCCTCCCACCGTGGGAACAGGCAGCCTATTCACTACCTCTTGCTTGGCATGAAATAAACTGCTGTCTTGCCCTTCGAGCCTCTGAAGGGAGGACAATTCCTGCCCCCCCCTGTACATCTTCTTGCCTTGGCCTCCCCCTACCCCCAAAGAGCCTGTCAGAACACAAGTTAGACAGGAGGCCTCAGGGTCAGGCAATTGCACTAGACTTACCTGCTGCCCAGAAACTGACTGTCCCAGCTGCTGAGGGTACTGTCAGCGAGATGTTGGGTCTGGAGATGGTGAGATTGGGGGCCATGCTTGAATCGAGTCACCAGACCTTATTGCTTCAACAGTGCTCGGCCCCAGCTAGCTTGTGCCAGCCTGTAGGCCTTCCAGGGCAACAGGAAAGCAGGACCACCACTGGGGAAAGAGGACACAGCTCGCCTGAATTCAGCTGGACGGGCTCAGAGCCATCTCCAGGGAAAGGTGGCACAGCCTCGTTCCCAGATCCCTCCCTGTTCCTTGCCAGACTTCCTTCCTCTTTCAAGAGGTCATCTTCCCTTCCCTCCCGCCTTTGGCAAGCAGGTTTCACTGCTTTGTTAAGATAGGTCAAAAGTGAATTGATTTCACTGCTTATGGAATAAATCCAAGAGTTTTCCAGAGACTGGCTGCCGCAGCCTGGGAAAGTCTGGGATCACTACATGGAAGTGTACCTTTACAATAAGACTTGGACGTTAAAATTGTTTATGAATGTTACTGTTTCATGACAAACAGCTATACTTATATCAACTTTGCCCTTATTTTACTGCATGTTAAATAAAACCATTTTCACCCTCCTGGGAATTCTAATAGACACCATTCACCCCACTGGGAAGGGGCCCCACTGATGAATCCCAAAGGTAGACATCACCTAGGTGTGTGTTTTATTTCTTTTCTTTTTTTCTTTCTCCACCTAGGTTTTTGTTTAAAAGTACAGGTTCCTGGACCTTTTTCTTTTTTTAAGAGTTAACCAGAAAGTTAACATCAGTGCTTCGGATGCTTCTCAGGTGGGGCCAAATTTCAGAAGCACAAGTAAATCACTGAAGGCTCCTGTCCGTGTTTCCAATTGTAGGCAGGAGGGCACTGCACTCACCATAACTTGTAGGGGTGTCTTTCTCTTCCATGTCAAAAAGAACATAATAAGCATTTTCTTAACTCTTACTACATTAAGTTCACAGGGCCCGATAAAAACTCCCTGGCTGAACTCTGTAAGGACTTGCCTTATATTTGCAAAAGGAAACATTTATTCTTTAAAAAAATGTATATACATCGCCACACAGATACCGTGCTGGAACAGCTCTCAGCCAGCCTCAGGAACCTTCCAATGAGCCTTCTTTTATAATTGCCCGAGCCAGATTTCGTGCCAAAGAAAGTCTCAGCATTTCCACCTTGGTGGCCTCTATGTCGTCATCCTAAGAGCAAAGAGAGCCAGCATGAGGCACAGCAGGAAGGGACCCTTTAAAGTTCCCACGGCTCTACCCAAAGCAGAGAGAGGGCACCTGGCACTCAGCAATAGCTTCCAGCAAGAGTTGCCTGCACAGGACCACCACCACTGACTGACAGGAAAGAACAGATCGGAACTCTAGAATCACGCCATTTTTTCTAAAAGAAGTTAGTGTGTCATGGTTTCAGGTTAAGAGGCAGGTGAGTTTGTAAGGGGCCAGTGTTTGTGGAAGGAGGTGGGGGAGCCGGAGATACAGGGAGCCTTTTTCATAGCTGCTGTGAAACCAACCCAGGAAGCTACAATAACCTGCAGTTGCTGGTCAGGTTCTCCTTGCTCTGGTCGTCCTGAGGTCAAGTCCTCCAGACATCTCAGCAGCTCGTACGTTTGCTCCGCTGAGAAAATCACCTAGGAGAGAAGCTGCTGCTAGCTGATGGCCTTCTGCGCATGCCCTGAGGGGGTGCTTTGTATGTGCAGCCTGGGAGGAAAACACACCTCTATTCTCACTCCCAGGCCTGCGATGGGCATGGTCAGGAGGCAACTGCCTCATTTTAAATTAAGTAGTTTTTCTTGGGTGGACACTAGACTTCCAGAGTGGGTGCTATTGGGGAGACCGATCCAGGGGATGACGTATGTTTCCGCATCTGCACTGTCAAGGACTACAAAACGTGGCAGAAAAGCATTTGGGCTCAACCTGTACCTGTTTCTGTTCCAAAAGGGGTAGGGCATCTGTTAGGAGTGTCATCCAGAAAGACCGGGGGGCAATCTGAGAAGTCATCAGGGACAGGAGGAGAGAAGCCGCATCAACAAAACGCTTGTCCCCATATAATCGGTGGAATTCGCGATACTTTCCTATTGAAAAAAGAGCACGAGGTCACCTTTGGCCCTAAAAAAGAGAAGGCAGATGCCAGCCCAGCCATTCCATAGAGTAGGGAATTCTTCAAAGCTGTATCCAATTCAGGAACCAACGAGACCACACACTTTGAAGAGACTCAAACCAGCCAATCCGGGGAGAAGGTAAGCATTAAACAAGAGTTACAGGTTATGACAGATTGAACAAAATAACCCAGAAGACCACTACTTGATGTAAATAAAAGACTAAAGCAGGGATGAAGGGAAAGCCTGCCATATAATGGGATGCCAACTATAAGGAGAGGCAGAAAATCAAAGTGGGTGGAAAGTTCAATGAGGAGCAAACAAGACATTTAAATAATTCCAAAGTATCTCCCCAAATTATTAAACCAACGCGAAAGGCAGGGCTGCCTGGAAGAAACAGCTGGTGGACGCCACTTTAACCAAATGACCAGAGTGAACTCCAACAAGGGCCACAGCACAACACATCACCTCGGCTGCATTTCCACCCCAGACACAAATCTAAATCTGATCACGAGGAAACATCAGATGAACCCAAATTGAGGACATTCTACAAGAGAGCTGAACTGACTCTTCAAAATGTCAAAGTTAAGAAGCACCAAGAAAAGTAGAGGCACTTAAACTAGCGAATTTGGGTGAAGTGTACATGAGGGCTCCTTATTCCTCACACTGCTTTCACAACGTTTATGTTTGAAATTACTAGAAAATAAATATTACCAAAAATTGTACTTTACAAAGTCTGGCACACAGGGTTCTGTATGGTCTGGGGTTTGGGCTTAACAGAAAGGTAACACTGGAGAAATCTTGAACAGAACATCCAATTTTCACAAGTGTCCACTGGTGCCAACTGTCCAAGGGACAGAGCCCAAGAGACTCACCCAAGAATGTCAGTCGGTCGCTGAGCATCATGGCCGGCCCCAAGTTGTCAATGAGATCTAGGTCAGAAAAGCAGCCTCGCTCACAGTAATCCATGAGGAACCTGCAAGGCCAGACCCGAGATCAGAAAAGCACTCCTCGGCCTCCCAATTCCCCAGACAGTTCCCGGAAGCGGACACTGGCTGAACCCACCTGTCTGACACCAGCGTGGCAAAGGCGGCATCTTTGGCTCGAATGCTCCAAGAGAGGGCGGAGCCCAGGCGATTGTTGCGGACAGCTTTCATAGCTAGGATCTTACAAATGCTGCGAACTGTGGGCAGGAAGGGAAGAGGTGAGTCCTTCACTCTGCAAATCATTCCTAAAGGCTGCTGGGAAAGGGACAGCCTTCTCACCTCCTCAGCCTTCCAGGCTCCCCCACACGCCCCAAATCCAGTTCGGTCGGCAGAACTGGGGTTCTAAGTTGCCTCCTGATGTTAATAGTATGACCCGCCCTGACAGGATGGCTTTGTGAGCTGATTTGATTTCAGGGGTGGCAATAAGTTACTTATTGCTTCCCCCAGATCGGCTCTTCCGTTACCGTTCCAGGTGCCAAAAATCCCATCCTCCCTTGGGTCCTGAATGCCACATCTTTCACAGTCTAAACACACAAGTGCCTCCGGGAAGGATAACTTGGGTTTTTATCACGCATCAGTGAGAAGAGAAGGGGCAAACTTTATCATTTCCTCCCTGTTCTTCCCAGCCACCTCTGGTCCTGCCTCCCGAGCCAGCCTTATCTGGCAACAGCAACTCCCTCGGGACAGGCAAACTCAACACTGACCCAGCCCTGACCTCAGAGTAAGGAGAGGAGTGGTGGGTAACACTTTTAAAAAGGCAGCGTGCTCGTCTGGATGGTGTGCCTCACTGGTTGAGTGTCAGCCTACAAACCAGGTGGTCATGGCTCAATTTCCAGTAGGGGGCGTGCAGGAGGCAGCCCATCCCTGATTTTCATCATTGATGTTTCTCCCTCTCCCTTCCTCTCTGAAATCAATAAAAGTTTTTGTTTTTTTTTTAATAAATAAAAAGGCGACGTGCTTGGTTGTTTCTAGGTCCCAAAGAATCCCTAGTTTTGTCCCTCCCCAGTAATGTTCCTGTGTTGGGTTCTTTTTGGCATCCACTTCCTGACCTCTCTGCAGGCTAGCGGGCCTGGTCTGAACACAGAGGCCATGCTGAGGGGAGGCGGACTCACCTTGCTCAGTCATCTGCCGCTGCTCACAAATCCGCAGCACCTTGAGGGCTTTCTGCTCAGTGCTCAGAGGGATGCGCTCAATGTGCAGCTCCAGGGAAACGCGGCCCAGCTCAGGGCAGTAGTCAAAGTAATCCACCCCCAGCTGCCACAGGCTGCAAAGGCCCAAGGACAGACATGAGGACTTGTCTGGGTGCTGCCGGGGAGCTCTGGGATTGGCCCCCAAGATGGCTCATCTCTAGTCCGCCATGGCCTTCAGGGAACATAGCCCCACTTCCAATGCACCTGCATGCTGAGAGCACCCCGCTCATCCCTTGGGGCCTTCCTACCTGTGATGAGAGAACAGCCCCGAGGCATATTCTAGCAGGAGGAACTCCCTCATGTTGGATCCAAAGCTGGAATAAAACGAATGGTGAGACCAAGACTCCTGGTCTGCTCCATTCAGGGCCCCTTCCTCAGCCCAACATCCCTTCTAGGCATTCAGCTCACCCCTCTAGAGCCTGGGAGGCGGGAGAAAAGGGTGGGTGTGCCACTTACTAGAGGTTGTGGGACTGGAGGAGTTTGCAGTGATCCAGCAAATCGGTCAGATGGGCCACAAACCACCAGTTGCTGAAGGCGATGCTGTAGGTTCAGACACCAAGGCAAGAAGGAAAGTCAGTGAGAAGCCATGGCCCACGTCGGGCATGAGCAGGAACCCCACGTGTGCTTTGCTTAAAAACGATGGGAGGGCTCTGCCACTGTGGCTGTGACTGATTGTCAACCTATGAATCAGGAGGTCATGGTTCGATTCCCAATCAGGGCACATGCCCAGGCTGTGGGCTCTATCCCCAGTAAGGGGTATGCAGGAGGCAGCCAATCAATGATTCTCTCATTATTCATATTTCTATCTCCCCCTCCCTTCTTCTCTGAAATCAATAAAAACTTATTTGAAAAAAAAAAGGAGGGACAGTAATGAGAGCACAGAATGAAAAGTTTCTCTTTGTTATGTGGGGACAAGGAACCACTGAAATGTCACACAATGAGATACAATCCAGGGATCCAATTAGATGCAGAAAATGAGGGCTGAGACCAATGTACAAAAAAAGGACTAAAATTTGGAAGTTTCTAATGCTCAATGAGACATGGAATTCAAAAGAGTATCTTGATTTGCATTTGGATGTGCTAATGTTTTACAGTGGAAAGCTGTTGGTTAGTGTACTTTATGAATACAACTATATACATGTGGCTTCATTTTAAAAACCATCTTGTGCCAAAACCGGTTTGGCTCAGTGGTAGAGCGTCGGTCTGTGGACTGAAAGGTCCCGGGTTCGATTCCGGTAGAGGGCATGTACCTTAGTTGCGGGCACATCCCCAGTAGGGGGTGTGCAAGAGGCAGCTGATCGAT